TCTCTCTCTCTCTCTCTCTCTCTCTCTCTCTCTTTCAGGTAATGTTGAGAGAGAATTAGCCGCAGAAGTGAAGTGAAGTGCAGGTGAGCACCAAATCTCCCATATATTAGAGTCAAAACATTTCTCTCTCTTCTCTTTTGCAGTTTAATTGCCTTTTCTCTCTCGACATCAGAAAAGCGGAGAAAAGTTTTAATTTTAATAATTTTTGTTATAATATAAATATCTATAAATAAGTTTAACAAAGTTTATATAATTCTTATTTTAATGTTTGAGTTAATGTTTATTATTTTTGGTTGACTTTGGATTATAACTAAGATATACACAGATCTGTGATGTGTTTTTCACCGGATGTTTACCAACGAAACAAAGAATTTAATTAATTAATCGATTGTCTCCTAACTGTGCCTTTAGTTCTTGGGATCAATTAGTCTAAAATAGACTTCTTTTGATTAATGCTTCAATAATTGATACAAAATTGTATTATTTATAAATAAAGTCTTTGTTTTGCTCAACAGATTTAAAGGTAAGTCTTAATCTCGTAAACCGGTAGCGATTATTACAGATAATCAATTGTTTTAATTGATATCATACACAGTATATTGTGTTGTAAATATGGACATAGACTATAATATAGGATATAAATGGATTTATTAATAGATGTATTTATATTTACAATTTATTTATTTATCAATAAAATTTTTAAATAATTTATTAGACAATAATAATTATGATTATTATGAATGCAATTCACGTTTACAACCGTTATATAGATTATAGTGAAAGTACATAAGAAATGAAATTTGCAAATGACTTAAAATGAAATGTAAGAAATGAAGAGTTATTCAAACAAATTATTTGTCATTTAATATAATTATAAGTTTGAGAAAAGGGAAGAGAAAGGAGAAGGAAGGGAGGGATAGGGATGAGAGAACTCTAAATGTTTAATACTTATTGCTCTTTCAATAATTGTTTTTTAATACTTGTTTTCTCTTTCGTTAATTTTATTTATAGATAAAAACTTATAGAAAGAAATGCAAAAACTTTATTGTATTTTATCAATATTGTTGGTAATATTTTACTCGAGCGCACGTAAGTTATAAATCATGTTTATTTTTACTTTTATTTTATTTTTATAATTTGATTTCAATTGTAAACATTTATTCGTATAAATTCTAATAAAGTATTTCCGAAAAATATTATCTTAATATCATTTTTGTCGACAACTTTGCAATTCTTGCAAAATAACACATTATGTGTTGAATTCAAATTAGTTTTAAACAAATAGTGATGTAAGCAAAGAGTTTGTCACCAAATAATTATAGCATCAAAAATAGATGTAAAATCCATTAAAACCAGTGATAATCATCTATCGATGTGTCGGCTAATGGTTTGTGAGTCAAACCAGTGATGAATAATATGTTTTCTAATCGTTATTTTGTGAAATCGCAAGGTTTTTACGGCCGAAATATTTTGGTTTTTAATCCAAAACATGAAACGAAAGCTTTTTTCCTTTAAATATTAACTAAAACTTTAAAATTTTGAATGCAATTAAAGGGAAGAATTGTGTCTGAAGTGTATTCAAGGCTTAGGAAAATGTCATTATATTTTAGGCAATAATTGAATTTATATTTATATGACTCATACCATCTGTTTTATCACAAATATCAATCCTCCTATAAAGTACTATCGATTCTCTCGATAAGCAACTTCTCAAAGGGAACACCTATTTGGGAACAATTTTAAACATTTGACGGGTTTTGTTTGACATTTAAATTATTATCAAAATTAACATGCTTATATAGGAATATCTCTTAGAGAACCCCTCCCTATAATAAACACACTGCTCTGCGAGAGACCGTTTCTTATTGTGAAGTTGGATAGTATATGCATATTATTCATATGAGGGAACATACGGTTACATACCTGTGCTCTTACGCCTATCTCTCAATCTATGAATACAATACAAGTATTAGTAATGATAACTGGAATCCAATGTTTGCCAACTGTTGTCTCCAAAGCGACAAAAACAGAAGGAAAACTGAAATAAACTTTTTCAGCAATATTTCCAAAACATAAAAATATATTATACTTCTAAAAATGTATTCAAATTATAATAGAAATATATGTTAGGAAATATTGGGTCGACTTTTGATTGAGTTTAGATATATAAATGAAGACCTCATTGAATACACACTCACGCCATTAACATTGGATTGGATTGGATTGAGATCCAAAATAATTGAATTATTTATTATAAGAATATAAATGCAAAAAGAAAAAAGAGGATAAATCATAAATCAATTTTTTGTTGATTAATACTTACAGTGTATTTGCATTAAGGCTTAGATCCTAATCCTTAGATCTAATTTCTCGCAATAAAAAAAGTTTATTCAGGTTTGGAATGAAAATAAAAAGTTTAATATTTTTATTATCATTTCATATAATATTTTGACAATTAAATCAACATTTATTTATTTTAAAATTTGTGTTCAATTTATTCCATGATAAAAGGGTTGCCAAGAAATGTATTAACCTTTTGGGGGAAGTCAGTGATCGACTAATTTTTTGGATTAATTTTAAAAATAAATAAATACTTTATATTCTTATATATAAGTTATAATGTATTTTCAAGATTACATAATCAGTCAATCAATTATGATTTTTGGCCAACATTAGCACCTATAGTGATGACCACTTTACACATACAGTGCATATTTTCACTATTTTATCTCCATTTAAATGATAAATATTATTTTATTATTTCATTTTAAGACAAATTAATATATCTTTTAAAAATTAATTCAACAATAATTAAGTTCAGTGTTATTATACAGAAAAAAATGATTAAATAGCATAACATTGAGAGCGGAATTTTAAAATAAATTAATGGGTTATTATTTGTTTGATTAACACGATTGCAGGTGCGGTACCCCTGAGGTATAAACGAGCGTTTTCTTACATCGCAAATGAGACGGGTATGTGTTTTGATAAATATGTACAATAATTATACCATTTGTTACAAACATACACTTTAATAGCAATTATTAAAACACAAAAAAGATCTGTTATAAAAACGTTATCTGAAAGAAAATAAATGATACAAATTATATGATTTGCCGCAAAGCCTGTACTGTCGATCACATCGTCTATAAGGACGGCGATCCCATACCGACGGACGACCCGTGCGAGTCATGCAAATGCAGACCTCCCGGCTTCTCGTGTGTACTCCGGGAATGCGAAGTGAAAACTGGATGTAAAGCCATTAGAAGGGAAGGGGAATGTTGTCCGGAATACCAGTGCGGTTAGTATTACACCATTCCTTTCAGCGATTTTTTTATCAATGAAACCAATTATTGAAGAATTTTCAAAAACGTTTTGAATAATAAATGCAAAAAAGGGATAAATGGACTGAAATTTATTGAACTTTCGATTTTTTTGTTTTAATGAAAGGCTGCGAACATAACGGACACTACTATCGAGACGGCGATCGTATACCGAATGCCGAGAGTCCGTGCTATTCGTGTTACTGTCAGGGAAGCTCTATTACCTGCTCTCTCGCCGATTGCAAATTCCGCTTCGACTGCGAACCAGAATATCTTCAGGGAGAGTGTTGTCCGCGATATGATCACTGCCCACCAGGTCTGCCATATTGAGCATTATTCACACCACTTCTTGCATTTCATTTAAATATTACTTTGAATTTTCTAACTTTTTTTCGTTCCCCAGAAAACATTCCGAGTGTTACCGTCAAGAGTACAACTATACCACTGTTGACCACATTATTCACCAAACCTACAACTCCATCCACTCCTGTCACCACTCCATCCACTCCTGTCACCACTCCTTCCACAACCACCACCACTCAGTTGACAACATTCACCACTCCATCCACTACTTCCACCACAACCACAACTCCTTCCACTATTCCTCCGACTACATCGACAACACCATTGCCGCCACCGCTTTTGCCGTCGACTACTACAACCACAACCACACCGTTCACAACAACTTCGACCACAACTGCGGCCCCAATGACTACAACAACACCAGTACCAACTGTCCCATCAATTCAGACAACAACCACACCTTTAGTCACAACCAAAACACCTGTCGAGACGACTATAGCATCGGTGGAAACTCATTTGACTTCAGTCACCAAATCATTGCTCACAACTTCAGTGCCGACAACTTTGCCGGAAACGGACGCTCCGACCACTAGTAGATCGGTGGCCGAGTCGAGCGAACCCGTGACCACAAATCAGCCAATAATCACCACAAGCCAAGCCTCTGAACCAATTTCATTGGGCTTTTCGACCGAATACTCGACGTCTAACATAACGAAAGAGTCTCCGGAAACTACCCCTCCAGTCGTCGTTGAATTCACAACCTCTGCTCAAACCGTTGTCTCGAGTACTGAAATCCCTGCCATAAGTATAGAGACAACAACGACCGCGAGTGGCGAACCATCCTCTGACTCTTCGGTCACTTTGAAACCTGTTGTGTCCGAAACAACGGTTAGAAGCGAACCCATCCCTCAGACAATCACTCCAACACCTAAAGAAAGTGGAGATGATTTGGGCGTCACTACAGAAGCCGTAACAAAGATTCCCGCGAAGACCAGTGATAGCCCAACTGAAAGACCAGAAACGACCACAAATGTCGAGATTTTAGTCAATAAAACAGAAATTGTCACAGAAATGAGTCCCGAAGTGACCACAACTTTATCGCCAAAATCCTCATCTCAGCCATCAATGGCTGAAGCGTTTACAGAAAAACCGCCCGAAGAGGTCATAACAGTTGCCATAGAAGTGACGACAGAGAGTGGAAAAGTGGAAGAAACTACTGTTAAACCAATTGTCATAACAGCTAAACCCGAAGAAGTATTGACGACAACACCCGCACACGAGATGACAACAAAATCAGAGCTTTCAATGGAGACTATTGAACCAAAACCAGATACCACTGAAAAGGTTACATTTGAAACAAAACCGATAATAAGTGTTACTGAAAACATTGTCCCGGAATCGAGTCCGAGTGTAACGTCTATTAAACCCGATTCTGAAATCAGCAAATCTGAGACAACTTCGCCCGTCGATGAAGTGGTTACCAAAGAAGTGACGAAACTCGAAGAACCCAAAGAAGTAACGACTCCAGAGGCACCAAAAGAAGTGACAAAACCAGTAGAACCACAAGATGTGACAAAATCAGAAGAACCAAAAGAAGTGATGACTACAGAGGCAGCTAAAGAAGTGACAAAACCAGTGGAACCAATAGATGTGACAAACCCAGAAGAATCTAAAGAAGTGACAAAATTAGTGGAACCAATGGATGTGACAAAATCAGAAGAACCAAAAGAAGTGACGACTCCAGAGGCACTCAAAGAAGTTACGAAACCAGTGGAACCACAAGATGTAACAAAATCAGAAGAACCAAAAGAAGTGATGACTACAGAGGCACCTAAAGAAGTGACAAAACCAGTGGAACCAATGGATGTGACACAACCAGAAGAATCTAAAGAAGTGACAAAACCAGTGGAACCACAAGACTTAACAAAACCAGAGGAACCCAAAGAAGTTACTCCGGATTCAGTGACAACTGAAAAGATTGCAGAAAGTTCTCAAACAGAGGCTATTGTAAGAGATATGCCGTCAGAGGCAACGACTCAATCAATTGTCATAACTTCTGAGGCAAACAAAGGTATGGATGAAACCACACCTAAAGTCGAGGAAATAGCAAAGACTGAATCAAAACCTAACGAATCGGGCGTATCATTAGATGCTATGGTGGATGTGGTGACACCCGATCCCACTATTATTAAATCAGATGATCTCCATAAAGATAACACTTCGGAAGCGACTAATACGGAGAGTATTACTACAAAACCAGTCGATGGCGAAAAAATGACCGACTCTGAAATGACCACTAAAATGCCATTATTTGAAACAACCGTTTCCGTCATAATTGGCGGCCAAGATATTGCTGTCACCACAACTGCTCCCGAAGTTATTAAAGAAGTGTCGCCCGAAGTGATCACTGAATCTATTAAATTGCCAGAAGAGGTGACCACAAGAGTAAGTGAAGTAAAAGTTAGCGCTGAAGAAGTTAAGTCAGAAGAGCCGCCAAAACCCGAAGAAGTGGTAACAGAAGTAAAGACAAGTTCCGAAATGACGACAACTGTTGCCTCAGTTGTCAGTAATGAAGAGTCGAAAGAAGCGACGATTGGCTCAAACGTAAGCGAAGACACAGTTATTACGAGCAGTACTGAAGAGAGCGCTAAACCGAGCGCTGAATCAATTACTACTGAAAATATGGTTTCAATCAAATTGAATGCCAATTCGTCGACCCCTTCCTCACCAGTCAGTGAAGAATCGCATTTTGTGACGATAACGACGACCACAACAGCAGCGGCCATAATAACTGATCCATCAGTCGAAACAAATAACAAAACCGAAGATTCTATGGACACAAACACTGAGATAATAAAATCACAAACAGATAAGGAATCCGTTTTCACGAAAGACTTAGACATTGAATCAATTACAACGACAATAAGCTCTTCAATTAATTAATAATTATTTTTTAGCCAAAAAAAACAAATGTATAAAAAAATTGAGACAAAAAACAAATCCAATGAAAATTGATGTAAAATTAAAAGTAAACTTTTTAATTATGGCTCAAAAGTCAATCAATTCATTACATAATAAATAAACTAATATTCGGTTTTGATTAACAAAAATTGTAATTAAAAACACACAAAACACTCTTTTTTAGCTTCAAATATAATGATTAAATTATTTAAATTTTTAACCATTTATTTATTTGTTTGATTGGAGCCTAAAATATAAGTAGAAATGCATTTTAAAAGGCAGTTATATTTGGGAAACAATTGTTGTGAACATTGAAATTCAATTCTTGCGTTCATTTCTTTGATCCGCGAAAACCATTTTTGGTGATAAATGTGGGCGAAGAGGACTCAGCCCTTCGACGGCCCACTTGTATGATCTCCGACGCTCTGGTTGTGTCCACTTCGACCTCACTTTGCAGACGTCGGGGCAAATCGTTGTATATGGTCTGCGGCACCGCTTCGTTGCACCGGTAGACCAGATCCGACCAAATGATCGCCTCCTGTGAGAAGCAAAACACACCCAATCGGCCGCCTTTTAGCGTATTGTCAAACAGATTGCCAGAATCGGCGACCATATTCTCGCCCTCAAAGATACGGAGCCTAACAGTCATTGAATTAATAATAGAAACGATATAATCGATTGAGAGAACAGAGCAAACCTGATCAGTCCAATCAGGGGTCTGTGAATCATGAGCCACCTGTAGGCCACCCTCTCCTTCCAGCCCACATTTCTGGGGTCCCGCCATAACAGCTTCACCTGATCCTCGGTGTGTCCGGTGTGCCAAAGAGAGTTGCGGAGCATCTGTCCCGGACCCGTCCCAGAGGTGACCAGTTTGAGTTGAATGCCCGGTTCGGCGACCGCCCTGAATGGGGTCGCCTGCCAATAGGTCTGTGTGTTCTTCTTCCACATCACTGTATAGAAGTGTGAGTTGTCCTGATAGCTGAACACAAAGCCCACGTAATCGTCATCGATCTCCGTGTCCACGAAGAACGTGCCCTCAAAGTCGACGCCACCGAACGAGTGAAACCCGACGGCCAGTCCCGGATCGCTGTTCATTGTCTGCACCACTTCCGCCCCCTTGTTATAGATAACCCAATGCGGGTCTATCTGAGACTCCCCCTCCGGATCCAATACCACCGTTTGATAAGCTCTGAAGTCTGTGGCGTAAACTTTTCTGTTGTCCGGACAGACGTCCAGATTATCGGGCACTCCGTCGCCGTCGAAGTCTCCTCGACAGGCGTCGCCGACACCCGTATTATTGGTATCTCTTTGGTCCGGATTATAGACTGGAATTGTTTGTTTCAAATTAGTTTTAGTAGTTTTTGTTATTATTAAAATGTAAATTTTAATGATTGTGGTGTGCAAACCAACCGAGTGGACAATTATCTACATTGTCTTTAATGCCATCGTTATCCTTATCAAAGTCGCAAACATCACCTGTTATTTACAAATCAAAATGATTGCAATTTGTGATCTCAATGACAGCATTTCAATTTGAAACCTAATCCGTCCTCATCTGAATCCAATTGATCGCTATTTGGTATTTCTGTATAAATATTATATCAATGTTTAAATTGAAACTATCGACTGGTTTGTGCATTAATTACCAGGGCAGTTGTCTACATTGTCTTGAATGCCGTCAAAATCTCTATATATGTTTAGAAATTAAATTATAAGTTTTGTACAATAAGAAGGATAGTTAACAAAATTAAAAAGTTACAGAATCTACAACTACACTTGGTCAAAGAATTTCCAGAATATAAAGCTCTTTACAAAAATTAATTTTATAAAATTTAAATTTCATTTGAAGTGTTATTAAAATGACAATTAATCATTATCAATTTTCATATCCTAGTAATTGCATTTGACTAATTTCAAATGTCAACTTTATGTTAAAGTTGCATTAAGTTGGCTTATAAGCCAACAAATGTACACATTTAATGTATACGCCCTGCAGTTCATATATTTATAATTTAAGAAATGATTTCTAGAAAGCATTAATCAGTATTTGATGTAAACCTGTCGTAATTAGTATCGCAAACGTCTCCCACAAGATCTTTATCGGAATCTTTTTGATTTGAATTTGCATGAAGTGGACAATTGTCGCACTTGTCTCCCACGCCATCGCCATCTCTGTCTAACTGATCGCTGTTCGCCACTAACGGACAGTTGTCTTGACTATTAATCACACCGTCGTTATCGGCGTCCGGATCGCAGAGATCACCCAAACCGTCGCCATCGGAGTCCAGTTGATCCGTATTGGAAATGGTGGGGCAGTTGTCGCACGCGTTTCCCAGAGTGTCGGGTCCGTCGGCGTCTGAATCTTCTTGGTTTGGATTACTGACGAGCGGACAGTTGTCCTGCAATTGCAATACAAAACGTGATGAAAAAAGCAAAGAATTCGACAAAAGTTTGATTACGGGATCGTTAATAATGCCGTCGTTGTCGGCGTCTTCATCGCACGCGTCGCCAATCAGATCCCTATCGGCGTCTTCCTGACCACTGTTTGGTATTAGAGGACAATTATCCTAAATAGAAATGACTTTTTAACTTAATATGAATTCCCGATATAAATACAAACGGCAACACATCGCGGGTCAGAGCATCGGAGGCTGTGATCGGGCCAACCGTCCAAATCGCTGTCGAGGCCGCAAATCCTGCCATCGCCTGCGAAACCCACTTTACATCTGCAGGTATACCTCGAATATCCTCTCCGAATAATACACTCGGCGTTTCCGTCACATATAGTTCCGTCGGGACACGTGCCCGGATGCGGGTGACAGCCCATAGTCTGATTGCCAACAAAGCCCTCAATACATTCTCCGCACACATACGAGCCCTGAGTGTTAATGCATTGGGAGTTCTCAACGCAGCCTCCATTGCGGCCGTCATCGCATTCATTCACATCAAGACATAACTATTTGTTGTGCAAAAGTATTGCACATGAATATTGAATCGAGTATTTTGCTAAATCTTATACCTGTTTGTTAGCCCTCGCAAACTCTACACCGATTCCCTGTATTTGTCTGCCGGTGTAACCCGAAGGACACGGACCGCACCGGAAACCGGGCGAGAGATTTATGCACGAAGAATGCGGATGACAGGGTCGACCCAACTCGCACTCGTCGATGTCGGCGCACGTGACTCCGTTTCCGGTCAATCCTTGAGGACAGGCGCCGCACCGATAGCCCGGAGGTTTGTCATAATTGACACAATTTACTCCAGTATAACACGGATTATCTGAACACCTTATGGCTGGAGAGCATTGCCTTCCGTTTCCTTTATAACCCATAGGACAGGGACCGCATCGGAAACCCTGCGCCTCATCGTCAATACATTGAACGCCTTTATAACACGGCCTGTCGTTACACGTTGTTATGCGTTGGCATTCAATCCCGTCTCCAGTCATGCCTTATGTTTGAAAGCATTCATATTATTAAGTCTTTACATCAAAATCAACAGTAAATCCTTACCCTTAGGACAGGCACTGCACCTAAAGCTGCCATTTGGCAAATCCAGACAACTAACGCCAGCAAAACACGGTTTTGTCGCACAACCCGTCACTAAACGCGCTGTAAAATCACATAAACTTGAAATTTTAATCACTTTATAAATGAATGTCTAAAACGTCTATTATTCAGGACTATAAACATTCAGTCGATAATTTGTAGTATCGGTTAAATTGGTTAAATTGCCGAAGAATCGAGTTTAGAGTTTAAGTATGTGCTAACCCCGACAGAAGTCACAACTTTCCATTGTTTGTCGCAACGATTTGGTTTCTCTGGTCTTTGATATCAATAATTTTAATGCAAAATCACTAAACAAATGGACATTTGATCTAATAATACCTGCAACTCAAGCGATCGTTTGAGATCTTTAAGCGTCACTTGAAGTTCTGAAAATATTTTTAATAGATAATCGGTTTCTTTACTCTTGCCGTTCACTGTATAATAAGTGGTGGGAATCTCTTTGACAGTTCTGGAGAGGAATATCCTCTGCGGTTGAGTCATCACTGATGGACACTCCACCTCATGAAGAGTACTACGGATGCCCTTTGGGTGACACTCCACTGTCAACTTACGATCCCTTTCCTAATGTATTTTTGGCAACAATTAAAATATTTTAAAATATTAATTTTAAAATCATAAGGAATAATATGAATGGTTTACAGCTCTAATAAGTCCGCCATCCTTTCGATATCCATTAAATATGTTAGAGTTAAGTGTTAGGTATCCCTGAGTAACACAACCTAAGAATACAGACATTAAGATTAATAGTCATTAAAAATGTTAAAATAAGAAACTTATGATTTACTCGTTTCGTTGAGTCCCTCCAACTCGAGACTGAAGTTCCTCTCCTGTGTGGGCCCTTTGAACACGGCTTCCCTTAACGACAATTGTACGGCCGGTTTGGTTCGGTTCAGTGTTATAATCAAATGATTGGCCAGATTTCGGATCTCAACGATAGGCTGTTCGGCCAATCGTTTGCGTGGTTTGAGTTCGCGAAACAAAATACTAAAGTCTTTGGACGAATCGATCGCATTCTGTAAGTCTTGACTTAATTCTGTAAAAAATTAATTATTTATTTTATCTTAAAATATATGTTAAAACACGAATCCATTTGAAAAAGATATGCAAAAATGATTACTCGCGTCATAAATAAGCGCCGAATAAACACCACTTAAACAAATAGTTATTAGTATTAATATTAAACGCATTCTCTTTGGTGTAAAGTGTTTACACTAAACGAAAAAATTCTTGTGTTTAATACTTATTATTAATATTCATTTACAGTAAAAGTTTTTCACAAATTCTGTGAACGAAGTAAAAAAGAGATATATATTTAACTTTTTTTTATCGGTTTATCAATAAATAAAGAGTTATCGCAAAAGCGATGCAAACATTGCTTTTATCTCAACTCTAAATTCCCATTCCATGACCTCATGTCATATAAATATAAAGTTATGTCTCTTTTCGTATTAAATAATATATTTTTTTCACAAGAAGTGAAGCGAAATGAAGGGGAGAATAGAGTAGAAAAATATATTTCTAAACCAATGGTAAACTACTTCTGAGAATATATGAAAAAAATGTGAAAATATATTTTTGATCCAAATGTTTGAGACGATAATTGACGGCCGAGAATGCAGTCAATGCAGCCGTCAATTAATTTTCACAGACTTTTATTATTATTATTATTAATTCGCATAAATTTGGTTCAATGTCTTCGCAGCAGTCAATACTAATTAACATAAATAAATATTTAAACCATTTATTAAAATTACTCATAGAATCAAATTAAAGACAAGAATATAATAATTAAAATTTTTCTTAAACACCAATTTAGAGACACTAATTGTTATTCATATTATTATTTATCACATATTAGTAAAAATTATTAGTGTTTATACAACTGATTCCGAGATTTGACAAAATTCCTATTTAAAGCACACATAATGTAAAATACAGTATATTCTGTATATTTCTTTATATACAAAACATGTCCCAATTCTAGTCAATACCTAATACCTAAAAGTGAATGCCCTGCGAGCACCCTGCTCATCTTATCACTATTACACCAGTAATAGTAGTGTTTATTTATCTAAAGTATGCATATATTAGTGGAGCAAGTTTTTTGCATTCCAAAGGTTTTGCAAATAAACTAATATTAAGTTCATAAATAATTAAACGTGTATTTTGTTTATTTATTCATTGTTTTATAAGACATATATATTCTAAGATTACATTGAAATTGTTGTAAAACATTGAGAAGAAAACACGACTAATGAATTGATGAATGAAATTTGAGGCAAAGAAACTATTTCTTTAAAAAATAATATTTAATTTATGACAAAACATGTGTTTAGCGATTAATTTGTCATCACAT